TGTCCTCTCCGGCCGCGCCTTCCCCCAGCAGCGCGGAGCCCCCGCCCGGCCCGGGGAGCCCTGTGCCAAGCCCGCTCCGCGCTCACCTCCGCGCTCACCTCCGCGCTCACCCGCGGCGCAGCCGCTCCGCTGCCGCCGCCTCCTCCTCCCATCGCGCCCGGCCCGCCGCGCCGCGGGCGCGCGGGGCGGGGCAGCGCAGGCGCTGCCGGGCGGGGCCGCGGCAGGTGACGGTGACGGCTGCGGGAGCGCCCCGGTGGCGGGACGGGGAGGCCCCGTGTCCCTCTGTGCCCGGCCGGTGCCACCGAAACGCCCGTGCGGGAGGAGAGCGACCCGCTTCCCAGAGCCGGCGCCGCCGCGACCGCGTTGGGAGATGCGCAGTGGCGTCTGCGGCGGGACTCGGTCTAAGCCAGCTCCTGCTGAGCGGATCCATTCACACATCCATCCATCATTTCCCGCACGCTGTCACCGCAATCACAGCAACTATCGCTATAGAAACAGGACAGCGGTGCTACTGGCAGCGCGCTCGGCTGGGGGAACGGGCTGCCCTCTCCGGCTGAAGCCTTTCGCCTTCTGCCCTCGCTCCCAAGGAAGGGCATCCCCTGTCCCATCCCGCATCCCTCACCTGGGCGCTCCCCGCCGGCTCAGCCCAGCCAGCCCCGGGGAAACAGGCAGACAAGACGGGCGCGCCGGCTCGGCCCCTGGAGTCTCCAAAGCGGGCGGTGTGAGAGAACTTCAGATTAATTTAAGATGGGATCATAGCCTGGGGTTAAGGCGCTTCAGGCAACAGCGCACATGAGTTGTGGATACCTGGAAGCCAAAATACCATCCACTGATGAGACAGCAAACAAATACATTGTTCTAAAATATTTTATCAAGAGGTTGAATCCTATTTCAAAAATAATACCGTCTTCCCAAAAGGAGGAAAGGTGAAGAACTTCACTCACTCAAGTCAACAACAACACACGCCATCACTACTTTTTACAGGAGGCAAATTCCAAGGTGGAAACAGAAACTTTTCCTGTTCTGACGAAGGACAGAGAAAGAAAGAAAAAAACCTCACCTCCAGCCTTGCTCAGCCAGCCACCAGAGCTTCCAAGCTCAGCATATGAGAGAGAAAATAACACCTTGGCATAGCAGGGGTGGGAAAGCAGGAGCAGGAGGACAAAATCGTGTCTTACTTCAGTGTGTAGTGCTTAACCTGGACTACTGCCTCTGCTCAGGGTTTGGGAGGCAGGAACCAGAGGAAGAGTGGGAGACCAGACAGCCTCCTGTGGCCCCAGGCCTGGAGCCCAGGCCCATGGCTGCTGAGGTTACACCATCCCGACTTACAGTTCTGTGGCCACAGATCTGACCTACTGGTCTGGCAAGACAGCCTGTCTGAGTCACTCAATTAAAAAAAAAAATAATATTAGAACAAAAGGAAAATTTAAGGAACGCAATGTCAGAACCTGATCATTTAAGCTCAAAATTCACTGTGTTAAAAGAGTTCAACTGCAGTAAAAGGCAATTCCCATCACACCACACATCTCCACTTGGCAGGCTTAGCAGCAGCTGGAGAGGACACGCTTCGCTTTGAGCCAGCATGGACATTCCTCGAGAGTGTCAGGTCACCCCTGAGGTCATCGGCGAGGAAGGGCTTTGCCGCTTGGACTGCAGCTGCCTGTGTTGGAGCCAAAGAGACTTGTTTTCATTGCTGCCAGTCATGAGTACAAATGTTCACTTAAAAAGACGGAAAGAGCAAGCCAAACAAGAGACTTGCATAATGGCATTGTATTGAAAAAGTCAAAAACCGAACAGGACAGCAGAGGACCCGGCAGCCAGTCCGGATGTGAAGTTAAACTCTTCACTTTTCCCCACCCTGTGGGTTTGTTCTCCCTGAACTTTTCCAGAACACTGTGTTAGGAAATTAAGGTTTTAGCTGATTTTTTTTCCCTAAACATGTTAACAGGCAATTATTTTGCCCGCATGGCTAAAATTAATCTGAGTTACAAACAACTGAAAACAGGTCTTTACAGTAGGAAGTATTAGGCAACTTTAATAATAGGTAGATCAAGCAGCCCCACCTATAATAAACAACAAATGCACCTCCCTAGAACAGATAGTATTTAGATGAGCTGGTATACTACAAAACCAAAATCATATTGTTAATTTTTTAAGATTTCTAGTTAATGAAATGCTCAAGACAGTTTTCAAGATGACTTTTTTTTTCTTTGAGAGGAAAAAAAAGCCCTTGTTTTTAGTAAACTCCACTTTTCTTTAGAGCACAAAGAGCTTCTAATTCTTTAGTCTGAACATGAATTTAATGACCGAAGAGATCTAATGGAAAAAAAGCAGTTTATACCATCTGAATAAAAGATGTCATCATCTTCATTACAAGCCCACAATTCTACAGTGTTAGGACCAAGGCAGGAGAGGAAGTTACTTGTGACATTTCAGTCACGTTAAAACCAAGTTCTATTTGGTTTCAAAATTAGGCACTGTCGTAGTTAACCTCTCAAAACAAACCCTGCAATTAATTACCACATAAAACTAGCATGATGCATACACACATGTAAGAAAGGCAAATCAAGACTAAAAAGGCAACACTAGTTTTTAGCATTATTTAACTCTCAAGTGCTTGAATTTAAAGCCTTTAGTATTATTTAAAAGACAGAAAGATGTATAATTATTTAACTAGCACAGTAAGACACCATTTGTTACGTACCATTAGTAGGAACACACTGCTGATAGCTGAACTGTTCCTGACTGAACCAATGGATTTATGCTGCCATAAACAGCAATAACAGGGCAAACCTGAACT